CTTCTGTCTCTGACTTTGGGGAGTCATGGACTATCTTGCTTTAGTCTCATCCTTCTTTGTTCTTTGCCAGGCAATCCTTTCAACCACAAAGTCTGCCTTCCTGGTGGGTTAGTGCCATCCTGATTCTGTCCTGCTGGAGGACTTTCCTGGCCACTGCATCTGAAGGAGAGTAGCTGGGTGGGGAGTACTGGGGGCCTGGAGGTCTGGCTAGAATGCCGGCTCTGAGCGTGCCTACCGTGTCCCCACCCCTTACTTGGCCTTCCCAGTCGATGCCGGCTCAGTGCTTCTCAAGCTGCCACATGCACACCCAGTATGCAGATGTCACTGAAATGCAGATTCTGATTCTGCAGGTCTGGGGTGAAGCCTGGGACTCTGCATTTCTATCAGGAGGCTGATGTTGCTGGTGCCTGGCTATCCATTGAGTGCCAGGCTCTGGCCCATTTCCAGCGATGTCTGGGCTTGAGGGCTTTTCCCCAAACCACACCGGGCTGCCAATACCCAGTGCGGCAGGCCTCATGCCGTGAGGAGCATATAATTCTCAGGCCTCATGTGGAGAGGAGCATACAACTCTCAGGAGGTGGCCTGCGAGCACTCCTGCTCCCTCGCCCCTCGGGCAGAGTATTCCAAGGCATGGACTTTGCACCGTTTTCCCATTTCCCTGCAGGAGCAAGCTCTCATCACGCAGTGGGGCAGCTGCATGAAGAATACTCTGCGTGCAGGTCTGCCTTCACCTCTGCGCTCACACCCAGTTCCCTGGGGTGTCCCCTGAACACTCTGCGTGCAGGTCTGCCTTCACCTCTGCGCTCCACCCCAGTTCCCTGGGGTGTCCCCTGAACACTCTGCGTGCAGATCTGCCTTCACCTCTGCGCTCACACCCCAGTCCCCTGCACCTCCTGAATAAACAACTTGTGCTTGAAGTCTTGCCTGCTCTTGGAAGAACCCAAACTGGGATGCTGCTAAGGGTTTAATTGTGTCCCCCAACCCCCAGTCTCCGTGCATGTGACCTTATTTGGAAACAGGGTCCTTGCGGCTGGAATCCAGTTAAGATGAGGTTACACTGTACTAGGAAGGGCCCTCAGCTGCTGGCCGGTGTTCTCACAAGAGGTTTGTGGAGGTGAATTCTTGGGGAGTAAGAATGCTTTGGGAGCCATGTAAAAGGCTGGGAAGATCCACATGCGCTGACAGAAGAGATGTTCGTGCAGGACTCGGCAAGGGAAAAAGGAAGTTGCAGGAAATACATGCATGATGTGACACCATTTCTGCTCAAATAAATACCACGTGGTGTCTTTCCATATAAATAGGAAAGGCAGGACACACAGGCACTGTTGAGCAAGCAGGGCGCAGCTGGGGATGAGTGATGCCGAGCGTGTCTCCCTGCTCACTTGACTCACCCTCTTACTGTGTGAATTCATAGAGAGCACGACTCTCCTTACAATTTAAAAATCAATAGGGCTGGGCACGGTGGCTAGCTCCTGTAATCCCAGCACTTTGGAAGGCCAAGGCCGGTGGATCACTTGAGGCCAGGAGTTCGAGACCAGCCTGGCCAACATGGTGAAAACCTGTCTCTACTAAAAATACAAAAACTTGGCCACGCATGGTGGTGGGCACCCGTAATCCCAGCTATTTGGGAGGCTGAGGCAGGATGATCACTTGAACCAGGGAGGTGGTGGTTGCAATGAGCCAAGATCGTGCCACAGTACTCCAGCCTGGGTGACAGTGAGACTCTGTCTCAAAAAAAAAAAAAAAAAAAAGAAAAGAAATCAATAGAAAAACACAAGCGATGCCATAGACTTAAAAAGCTAACGACACAGTTTCAAATTATTATATAAAATTAAATTATACTCAGTAACTCTTTAATTTAGTAAAGTAGGTGGTAAAATAGCCTGCAGAGTGTGAATTTAATGTGTGTCTGTGCATCTGTAAGTATGTATCTATCATCCATCTCTATTTGTCTTTCAATGATCTATATCTATCTATCCACCTGTTTGTCTGTCTGTATCGATCTAGGGAAGAGAAAGAGCTTGGGATCTGCCTTTGTTTGTTCACATACCAAAATGGGAACTGTGGTTTTCTGGATTCTTCTTTCAGTGCTTTTCTGAGTTTAGATTTGTGCACAATGAGCATCTGGCACTTGCACAATTTTTACAAGCTCCTAGACCCCCCAGCTCCTGGGTACAGGGGTGTCAGGCACCTTGACAGGACTGAGATCGGGAACATGGTCATCCTCCTGGTGCAGCCGTGAGGGCAGCCATGGCGACTTGACCCCCGGGGCTTTTTATGTCCACTGATGGGGACAGATGCCACTCCTTGGCAAGCAGCTCACCCAGCTTGTGCTCTCTCCGTACACAGGCTCAGCGTCCTGGGTCAGAAAGCAGCCTCAGTTCCCCCCTCCTCCCTGCCAGAGGTGGTTGAAGGTGGGGAGAAATGGGGTCTTTTGGGGAGGGCTTGTGGGATGAGAAGAGGATGAAGCTGAGACGGTCAGGGTCCTGCCATGTGGCAGGGGGAGGAAGCAGGAGTAACGGGGGGCAGGTGGAGAGGGGATAAAGGAAGCGGGTGCCTCCGGCAGCCACACTGGGAGCTGACCCTCTCCACCCATGCTTCAGGCACTCAGGCCCTCATCCACGGATCATCCTGTACCTCAGACTCCGCCAAGAACTGTCCAGCCCCAGGGCCTTTGCAAGCGCTGGTCGTACTGCCTGGGATGCCCGCTCCCAGCTCACCACGTGGCTGGCTCTTTCTCATTCATTGGTCTCAGCCCAGTGGCTCTTTCTCATCAGAGAGGCCGCCCCTGCCTGCCCTGGCTGGCCGTCCCCTCCCCCACAATGACTCTATGACATCATCGTGTTCCTTCTCCTCGGAGCCCTCACACCCTCTGAAATCCTCTGGTCTGTGTTTTGTTTCCTCTGTCTCTATCTCTCTCCCCACTAGAAGGCAGGCCCCAGGAGGGCAAGGACCCGGCCTGTCCAGCTCCCAGCCACAGCCCCAGGGCCGGGCGTGCAGTAGATGCTCAACAAGGCTTCTTGCCTCCCACCGGCCTCTCCTCCCTCCAGGGAGACAGGACTTGGGGGTGTTGTTGGGGTCTAAACGACGCAAAGGAAAGAGACACTGAAGTGGGTGAGCTGGCCTCACACTGCACTTCCTGCTAGAGTTCAAAGTCAGCCCTGCCCCTGGAACTGCTGTGGCCAGTTTAGATTGTTCCAGAATCCCGCTGCAGGCTGTTCAAAAGGCTCCCAGCTGCTATCAGGAAATAGCTCAGGAAGGTCTCCGTTAAACACCAAGAAACTGAGATGCAATCAGCTGGCCTGGAATTCAGGAAAGTGCTGGTTCTGAAATTGAGGCCAGAAAGAACACGTCTCGGGGCGAGAAGATGTGAACCTGCCAACCAGCCCGTGTTCTTTTTCCACCTGTCCCGCCACATGTTGTGCCACGTCCATGCCTCCTGTCCCGCCATCACCCCAGGAGGTGGCAGATGGGGACCCTGCTCCGTGGGGAAGCGAACACTCAGTGACTGCTACCCCTGCCCGCTGGCGTCCACCCGTAATCTCTCAGTTGTGGTCTGAAAGGCCAAACATGAACCAGGATTTTCCATTATGGTTGCAATTTTGGCTTGTAATTTTATCACTCGAATCTAAATCCACTTCAGAAATGCCATAAACTAATTGTCACTGAATAAACTGAAACTTTTGAGGAGTTTATAAAAGTGATTTAGTGGGAGAAAGAAAGGAAAATAGAAAACAAATGTTGCCCACAGAATTGTTGGCAAAAAGGTAAAAACTCTCTGTTTCTTTTGAAAGCATTCCCTCGTCTGGGAGCAATCCCTGCCCATCGTGGCTTCGGGGCCCAGGCTCTGAGGCTGTGCTTGTCTTGGAGCTGGTGGGGTTGATTTCACATTTGTCCCTGGGAAGCTGATTGAGGCAGTGTCAGCAGTGAGGGCAGGGGTAGGTTCCTTAGAAAATAAATGGCCACAGATCAGATCCAATCCTTATCCCACAGAATGAACCGGGTTTCCTTGATTAAAAATAATAATAATAACAAAATGAATGTTGGGGTTAAGTAAATGTGAGCTAATTACTAAGCTGTGACCACGTTCACAGTTTCTGAGGCTAAACACTTCAACGCGCCTTGTCAGTTTATGTTAGGCAATAATTTGAATGACTACTGGTTAGCTGTTTCACTTCACTCATATTAAGAAACAGTATACAAAGGGTATAAAGTGATCAGCTCTGTTTACGCTGAGGAGGAGGGTTATAAAATCAGCTAACGGAGCGGGGCAGAGGGGAGAGTGCTCACGGTTTTTGACGGGCTTCTGATGATTGTTTAGGAAGGAAAATCGGAGAAACTTTTAAAGGTAGACAGACTGGGAACAGTGAAATGAAGCAAAGCCCTCAACAGCATTTCCAGCATGGACCAGGGCGAGAGGAGAGAGTTTCCCTGGGATACATAGCTTGTCAATAAGAAAGAGCCTACAAAATACTCCAGGTCAAAAGGAGAAAGATTCAGGATCAGTTGAACCCTTGCAAGATCCACAAGCGCTGAACTGCAGCATTCTTGGTGTCTGCTGAGGTGGGAGTCAGGGTTGTTGTGAAATTCTGAGCTTCCTGGTTGGCTGAGGAGAGAGGGCTCAGGGGAGAGGCCTTCCTCCCACCACTGCCTCAGAGAAACCCCAAAACCTCACAGCTTTGAACCCCAGAATTCTCAGGTCTTCTGCAAAAATGCAGACATGCTGGTGTCAGAAATCAGCCTGGAGTCCCAGGAGCAGCATCTCACATCTTTACGGCAACACAAAACAAAGCAACACAAAAACAGCAAATGCAAATATATCTTCTTCAGGATAGGCCTCAACTGAATGAGCAGGGAGGGGCATGTTCCTTAAACCGGTGGTTCTCAAAAGGTGGTATCTGGACCAGCAGCAGCAGCGCCACCTGGGTACAGACCGGAGGATTCCAGACCCCTGAAGGCTCCAAGGAGAAGGAACACAGTGATGTCACAGGGTCATTGTGGGGGAGGGGGTGGGCCAGCCAGGGCAGGCAGGGACAGCCTCTCTGACGAGGAGGCCACTGGGCTGAGACCAATGAATGAGAAGGAGCCAGTCATGTAGTGAGCCAGAAGAGGGCATCCCGGGCAGTGGGTCCAGCATGTGCAAAGGTCCTGGGGCTGGACAGTTCTTGTGGGTATTGGGTACAGGATGATCCCTGGATGAGCGCCCGAGTGCATGAAGCATGTGTGGAGAGTGTCAGCTCCCAACATGGCTGCAGGAGGGAGTTGTTTAATGAGTTTCAGCTCTGCAGGATGAAAACAGTTTGCGTGTTAGAAATACACATTCTCAGCTCCACCCCAGCCCTGTCACAGACCCTCCAGGGAACCCTCATGCAAGCCAAAGTCTGAGATTGGCTGCTCTCAACCACCGGGTGTTTCCCCAGGCCCCCTCTGGGTGAATCTCAGATGTAGCTTGGGGAGACCGAATACAGAGGCTGACCCCTGGCAAACCCTTCCCTCTGATACTCAGCGTTCAGTTCCATGAAATGGGCTCCCTAAGTCCAACCTCACAGACCCCGTAGGAAAGAGCAGATGGAATCTCCGAGGGCACCAGCTATACACGGTGATGGAAGGACCAATGCGTCCTCTCAATGCCACCGCAGACCACAGGCCAGTGCCCTCCATGAGCCTGACCTTCATGCCTCAATCGTCGCTCCTTCTCTGTCCAATATGGGCCCTTCTTTCTGTCCTCCTCTTTCTTTAGGCCTTTCTCTGTCCCTCACGGCTGGCCTTGCCCCGTCCTGGGCTCTGTGGAACTGGTGCACGCCTCTGCGAGGGGGTGAACCTTGGCTCTGCCCCTTTTCTGACTGAGGAAGCTGCTTGGCCTTTCTGTGTTTCAGCTGATCTCTAAAATGGGAGTGAAAATCTCTAAACTCACTGGCCGCAGTGAGAATTAGAGAAGACGCAGCGCCCTGCTATATACCTGGCATGGTCGCCGTCCGCCAACAGTGCCTATCAGTTATTATCCACCAGTCATGCTCTGAAACCCTCCACCCACCTAAACGTGTGAGACCTCTGCGACACCCCCATCCTAGAGCTCCTTACGACCTCATTGGTTGAGCCCATGGGTTCCTCTGTTTCTTAGATATCACCATTTTTCTTTCATGCGTGATTGTCTAGAACCAGGTACCTGTAAACAGGAGCACCTGCTCCAGAGCATCCTCTATTCTAATTTCTCGGCATCTCCCATTTGTGGTTTCCCATGAGAAATGAGCTTGCGGCTGTGGGCAGCCTCCCTGGGCTGTCTTCTTCCTGCTCATGTGGGATCAGGCTCAGAGCTGGAGGTCACGGCCTGCAGGGCTCCCCGGGAGAAGCACTGCCCAGGATGCTCTGGGGGGGATGAAAAGTTCTAGATTGGGCCATCCAGGGTTCCAGTCAGCAGGCATTAGCCACGCATGGCTGTGTTCTTGAAGGGTGGCTCAGAAGCCAGAGAGGTGCATTTTTATTTTATGTAATCTGAATTGAAGTGTAGACAGACACCTGTGGTTAGCAGCTTCCGAGGGGGACTGCAGCCCTGGGGAGTATCCCACTGCTTTCAGGCTGTGCTCCCTGAGCCCCAAAGGTTCCAGCAGGTGCTTTCAGGGTTGCACCTTAGAGGCAGAAAGCAGGAAAGGTCAGTTGGCAGGGCTTTGGGCCCCACCTTCTACAGAGCACTTGTGTTCTCATCCACGCCCCAAGCTGTTTGAAGAAAGCTTATGAAAGGAACGATGAGACCCCTGACTTCAGTCAAACCTTTGCTGAACGCATAAGGAAACAGAGAGAGGGTCATGAAATGGAAGAACTCGCACAGCCACCCTCCTTCAGTGGGGAAAACGAGCCTGGGAACATGCTCAAGCCCCTTTGGAGTGGGGAGTGGGAAGATGGTGACAAGCGGTTGCTTGTGGACCCCGGTCCCTGACCCCACGGAGTGGGGACCCCAAGGGCAGTGAGGGGCAGAGTGGGTTTGTACCGGGCACTGAGACCCCAAGCTCCCTCTCTCTGGCCATGGCTGTGGGGGTCCCCAAGTGGAAGTGGAAGAGGGAAACTGAGGAAAACAAAATGGTCCTGCTTGAGAGAGGGAGCATGGGCTGCTTTCTCCTCCCCCACCAGCTGGTCCAGTGAGCCTCATCTGTTCTCACGCTGCTAATACAGACAGACCCGAGACTGGGGAATTTATAAAGGAAGGAGGTTTAATGGATTCACAGCTCCACGTGGCTGGGGAGGCCTCACCCTCATGGCAGAAGACGAACGAGAGGCAAAGAACGAGAGGCAAAGGCGGGTCTTACGTGGCAGCAGGCAGGGGAGCTTGTGTCAGGGAATTCCCATTTATAAAACCAGGAGATCACGTGAGACTTACTCACTACCACGAGAACAGCATGGGGGAAGCTGCCCCCATGACTCAATGATCTCCACTTGGCTCTGCCCTTGAAACGTGGGGATTATTACGATTCAAGGTGAAATTTGGGTGGGGACACAGCCAAACTATACCAGAGCCTTTGAGAGGTGTCGAGGCTGCCACCCCAGCTGAATTTATCAGCAGAACAGGAAGCGGGCTGGGAAGGGCTGTAACTTTCTTGCTCTGTGATCCAAGCTGAGACACAAATGTTTGTTGAAAGGGACTGGGGTCAAACAAGCCTGGGTTCAAATCCCGTCCAACCCTTCCTTGTTCTGCGACCTTGGAAGTCAGTTCCCTTCTCTGAGCTTTCACTGTCTAATCTGTAAAATGGGGACAAAATATAAAATGGAAAACTACAAACCGGGAAGTTGGAAGTCATACGCTTTCTGATTTCAAAAGTTACTAGAAAACAATGACAATCAAAACACTGTGGTCCTGACATACATACATACAGACAGATAGACAGACCAATGGGACAGAACACTGAGCCCAGAAAGAAGCCCTTTGACTTCTTTGACATTCAAGCATCTTGAGCCAAGACTCTTCAATGGGGAAAGGGCAGTCTCTTCAACAAATGGTATCTGGAAAACTGAATACCTCATGCAGAAGAATGAAGTTGAGCCCTTATCTTACACCAGATACAAAACATTAACTCAAAATGGATCAAAGGCATTACCATAAGAACTAAATGTAAAAATTAAACTATAAAACTCTTAGAAGAAAACAGCGGGGGAAAGCTTCACGATGTTGGACTTGGCAGTGACTTCTTGGATATGACACCCAATGAACAGGCAAGAAAACAAAAAACAAATCCATGCAAACACGTGTGCACAAATATCCACAGAGCGCTATTCCTAACAGCCAAATGCTGAGAGCAATGAAAATGTTCATTGACAGGAGAATGGATAAACAAAACACGGTCCATCCATACAGTGGAATATTATTCAGCCTTAAAAAGGAAGGAAATTCTGACACCTGCTATAATATGAGTGAGCCTTGAGGATATGGTGTCCAGTGAAACAAACCACTCATAAAAGGACAAACATTGTATAATTCTACGGACATGACTTGCCTAATGTCAGCAAATTCTCAGAGATAGAAAATAGCGGTGGTGGGGGGCTGCCCAGGGTTACAGGGATGGGGGTGGTGTTTAACAGGGACCTTCCTGAGCTATTTCCTGACAGCAGCTGGGAGCCTTTTGAACAGCCTGCAGGGAGATTCTGGAACAATCTAAACTGCCCATGACAGTTCCAGGGGCAGGGCTGACTTTGAACTCTAGCAGGAAGTGCAGTGCGAGGCCAGCTCACCCACTTCAATATCTCTTTCCTTTGCATCGTTTAGACCCCAACAACACCCCCAAGTCCTGTCTCCCCTGGAGGGAGGAGAGGCCGGTGGGAGGCAAGAAGCCTTGTTGAGCATCTACTGCACGCCCGGCCCTGGGGCTGTGGCTGGGAGCTGGACAGGCCGGGTCCTTGCCCTCCTGGGGCCTGCCTTCTAGTGGGGAGAGAGACAGAGACGGAGGAAACAAAACACAGACCAGAGGATTTCAGAGGGTCTGAGGGCTCCGAGGAGAAGGAACACGATGATGTCATAGAGTCATTGTGGGGGAGGGGACGGCCAGCCAGGACAGGCAGGGGCGGCCTCTCTAATGAGAAAGAGGCCACTGGGCTGAGACCAATGAAAGAGAAAGAGCCAGCCACGTGGTGAGCTGGGAGCGGGCATCCCAGGCAGTACGACCAGCGCTTGCAAAGGCCCTGGGGCTGGACAGTTCTTGGCGGAGTCTGAGGTACAGGATGATCCGTGGATGAGCGCCTGAGTGCCTGAAGCATGGGTGGAGAGGGTCAGCTCCCAGTGTGGCTGCCGGAGGGAGTCGTTTAATGAGTACTGAGTATCAGTTCTGCAGGATGGAAACAGTTTTGAAATTGGACAGAGGCGATGGTGGTCCACTAACGTGAGTGGACCCAATGCCACTGAAATGTTCACTTTAAAAAAGTTAAAATGGCAAGGTTTACATTAAGTATACTTTGCCACAATAAAAGAAAAAATATAATAACTGTATGAAGTTGAGATGAAATGATGCAACTAATAATTTAGTTTGATTAGCAAAGAGTAGGCACTCACATATTTAAATATAACCATCATTATGATGGTATCCTGTCAGTGCTGGGGGATGATTTGTGAGGGAGGTTGAAGACGAGGAGGAAGAGGAGACAAAGGGAATCAGCTTCTATTATCCACAGCAGGATGCCTCTGGAGTTGTTTGAAGCAGAAAGGTAGTCTATGTGATCCCATTTATATTGTAACATTGATTGACCAGGTCTTTAAAATTACAGAGTACTAGATAGACCCAACTCAGCCTGTCCTAGTAATCACGACTCCTCGAGTATTTGTGAGACTTCTGGTACGTTCTCTACAGTCTCAACGTTGGAACTGACTGAACCATGTGTTATACATTAAATCCAGGGTCTGGACACCTCCCAGGCCACCTCCGTCATTTCACAAGAGCCAGGTCATCTTCTCAGTGCTTGTGAGCATCCCTTCACACTCGATCCTTCCCACACACCTGCCAAAGGGAAGGAGGCAGGGACCACCTAAGAACACCAAGAAAGAGGAAGCATGGTCCTCCTGCCCTGGAGGCTGTTACCATCCGGAACACCCCGCCCTGAAAGTAAGACCACCTACCATCTGGGCTTCTGTCTCACACGGGGCATAGCCTCTCAGTGGCCAACTGTTTTTAATAAGGGTCTGCCAGTTCTGATGGGATTGCACAGACATGGGGAAGGGGAGAAAGGAGACAGGACTTTGTGCTTGAGCTGTTCACCCCTCCAACAGCAGTGCCGGTGTCATGGTTGATGGGCAAAATTCCTACAGATGCCTTCTCTTAGAAACTCACTTCCCCTGGAACCAGACACAGGCTTCTCCAGGAAACAGCTCACTACCTGACACAGTCCCCAACCCCCCTCTGTCTTCTTTTCCCTTCTGCCTGGGAGAGTGTTTTGGGCCACTGCCGAGAGAGACAGAGAGAGAGAGAGAGAGAGAGAGAGAGAGCGAGAGAGACCTTAGGCTGTGCACTGAGTATAGCATCTATGTTTACTAAGGAACCAAGAGTCCCTCTCTTGAAAAAGAAAGAGAAGAGGATTTTTTTTTTTTCTTTCCTGTGAAAGCCATTGCTGTGGCTCGGGCCATCAGAAGCATACTAGGTTTATCTAAAGCCCCCAGAGGGCCTGCACAGCCCACTTTGCTTCTCCATGGCTTAAGGGGACTCCTCAGGCACCCTGGGCTTTTCCTCTGACCTGAAAAAAACCCCTGCTGTCCATGCAGATCTGGACTGTCACCCAATCCCCCGTCTGCTGAGACCCCTAATAGGATATCTGGCAGTGAGAGACGGCATCTGATCTTATCAGTTTCTTCTCTGGCAAGCCTGGCTCCACCAAAATAACTTTTATCTGGAAATAAAATAATGCAATTAATGTCCTGACTGTCTGATACCCTCTCAAGTGATCTCAGCTCTGATGATTTCATGGGGGGCCCCCTGTCTGCTAATTGCCCAGAGCACTTATTAAGTCAAAGGCATTTGGTTGGGAAACAAAGCCAGTGAGTGCACAAGGACCTTATGCAATGAAATGAATACACAGCACGGTTTTTTTTTTTTTTTTCGTTTTCTCTTTCTCTATTTGGATCTAAAATGGCTCCTTTCCCCGCTCCCCACCCCTTCCCGGGGCAGGAAAAGTGCATGCCCCTCGCAAGCGTCCTGACTGCATTTACGTCACCTAGGAATTTTCTTTTTCTGGCTTACTCTCTGGCATCACCCGGCCGGCCGAGAGGCTCCAGGAAAATCGTAAACCCTGTTGAATGGCACCACAGTAACGGCCAGTCCCATTGGAACACGCTTGTGCTTTTTGTCTTGTAATGTCAAAATGAACTTGGCCGGGAACCTGAAGCTGCCAGCTGTGTGCCAGTTTGACTTTCCGTGTTTCTGAGTGGGGGTGGGCTGCAAAGTGGGGAGGGCTGAGCAGGCCCCAGCAAGCTCGCTCTGGGTCCTTGGGGGGCTCAAATCAGGCTGCCTGGCATGGGATTGCCTCGACGGCTCTGAGAGCCCGTCCAGAACCTTCTTATACTCATGTAGGGCTGGTGCAGTGCACACAGGAAGCCCTGGATGCAGATGAACTCGGTCAGCCTGCCTCTGCCAGGAACAGCTGTGTGACCTTTAGGGAAGCAGTTTGTCTCTCTGGGTTTCAGTTTCCTTGTCTGTAAAACGAGGAGAGACTGGAATGGGTTAGGAGTTTTCAGGTCATCTCATCCTGGGACCTTATTTTCTAAGGAAACCTTCCCGAGATGTGTCATTTGTAAAACAGAGAACAGTTGAGATCTTCTGTTTGAAGCAGATGGTTGGTAGCTCAGTCCCATCTGCTAAGTACTCCTGCCTTCTTTTCCAGGAAGATTGTGGGGGTCAGACCACCAAATGCTCTCTGAGGGGAATTTCAAGCTTGCGCTTCTGTTTTCTATGATTTGCCAAAACCAGCTTCATTCAGTCAGTCAATCTGTATCTATTGATCGACCTGTATCAAGCTTGTCCAACCCAAGGCTCTGGGGCCACATGTGGAAGGAGAGCTTTGAATGTGGCCCAACAGAAATTCCTAAACTTTCTTAAAACATTGTGATTTTTTTCCTCATTTGCTTTTTTTTTTTAGCTCATCAGCTATGGTGGGTGTTCGTGTATTTTATGTATGGCCCAAGACAATTCTTCTCTTTTCTATGTGGCCCAGCCAGGGAAGCCAAAAGAGGACACCCCGATGTGTATCTCCTACCTAGATATCAACTAGGTTTGCCCTTATTTATTGCCAAACTTCAACATGTCTGACAGTCCCCCGGAGAACTGTTCAAACACGGACTTCCGGGCCCCACCCCTGCAGTTTCTGATTGATTGGGGTCTGGGTTGTGGATTTCTAGCAAGCTCCCAGATGAGGCCGATGCCGTGGTTCCAGCTCACCCCCTGGGGATCCCCAAATCCTCTTCCACATTGGCTCACAGACAGGGTTTCCTCACCTTGATTTTAGACATTTTAGCAGAAACCAAAGTGTGAAGGACAAGAACGGTGCTCTCTATTTCCCACATGCACAGAAAGGAAGAGTCAGAAGGGATTGTGTCCAGTTTTGAAGCCTCTGTGCTGCCCTTTGGGGCCCAACAGCATTGTGTCGTGGGACACTCGCATTTACTAAATATTTTTTCTCTTACAATTAGGGCATAAAAGTCTGACTAGTGGTAGTTAATCAGATGAGGGTTCACACACCCTACAGCCCAGTCCCATCCCATGCTGGGTGAGCAGCTAGTGGAATTCTCACACATCCATAAGGGACATGTGCCACCATGTCCCTCATGGTGTCATTTATGGTGGTGAGACCTGAGGAGCCCACCACTAGGACAGCAGACAGTATAGCATGGGGGCGCCCCCATGGAGTGAGGGGTGCCAGCTAGGGACAGTGCATATGGACCCAATAGAGTGGGTGGGTCTTACTAATTTGCTCAGGGGTAGGGTGGGAGGGGAGAAAAATAGAATGAAATATTTAACACAAGACCGTTTGTGCAAATTATTTCCACACGAAGAACACACTTTAGACCCGTTGGAACCGTTGTCCACATAGTGAGAAGGAATGAGAGAAGGAAACCCTCAGGAAGGGGACTGGAGAAATAAAACGAGAGAGGGGCTCCCTCGGACCAGTGATGAAAATGGTGCACCAGCAGCCAAGGGCTGTGATTTGTTGGCCGTCTGCACCTGAGTTAAGAAATCAACACAGAAAAAGTGAAAAACTGAAAATGTGGGTCTTGGGCATCCACAGACAGTGCTAACGACTTCTTTCCCTCCAGCCTCTTTACCTTTGTTAACCTCACATTGTCCGTTCTCATCACAACAGGACAACTAAGCCCTGACTCCATCCTGGCGCCTGCCCTCCCTGTGTGTCCACAGTGGCCAGGGTGGCTCTGTCCCGGCGCCTGCCCTGTGTGTCCACAGTGGCCGGGGAACTTGGGGGCATGGCCGGTGGAAAATCAGAGAAAAGAATGACTCATCCAGGTTCCTTTTTCCTTTGTTCTCTTCCCCTTCATGATCAGGGATGACTGTGGCTAATTTCCTTTGTGCGGTTTTAGAGAAAAGTCGGTTTGTAGTGAACTCATGGTTCATGAACCTGGCCACATCAGTTTCAATCAAGGCACTTGTTTAAAAAACCAACAAAACCACTAAATTCCCAGGGTCCACTCCATATCAGATTCTCTGGGACTGGGATTAAAGAATCTGCAGGGGTGTGTGTGTGTGTGTGTGTGTGTGTGTGTGTGTGTGTGTGTTTTCTTTTGTAAATGTTTCCTTAAGTTTTTCAGGTGTTGAGGATGAAACCCAAGTGGGAACTGGGCTTGTGCCCCCCACCTGTACACTCTGCAGGTGCTGAGACGGGGGCTCCTCTGCGCCCCCTGGTGGTGAGGACAAGGGGCGCGCCGCCCTCCCGGATGGGAGAACCCAGCCCGGGGTCAGGTAGGAGACCCCCACAGAAGCCATGTCTGCCATTCTACCAGATGGGTGGGGCGAAACCACCGCTCCACTGCAAGAACATTCCAGCCCTTGCTTTTTTATCCCGCCCTGTATTTCACTGCCACAGGCATTATCTCCTTCAATCTCATTTGTCTTCCACAGGTGCCTTTCCAGAGTCCCAAGGAGCGATTTTTATGGTGGAATTAAAGCCCCGTGTCAAGACATCAGGGAGATGTTTTGTGGGAGACACTTTTTCTCCCTTTCCCTCACGTCTGTTCAAGCCTGTGCTCAGGCCAAGTTCCCCGATCCGACATCACTGCGCAGAGGCCTCCCTGGTGAGGCCTAAGAAACAGGACAGGGATTGTGCCGACATCTTGGCTAATGGGAAGGCACCAGTGCTGCATGGGAGACAGGCTTCTCAACGTCTTGTCCTGGGGGCTAGATCACTACTACATTGTTTGTTATGTCCAAAAAAATGCAGAGACTACACATGAGCCAGGGCAGTGCTGGGGGCAGGTATCCACCCGTGGGTGAGCAGATATGGCCCTGCCCTCGGGAAGCTTAGAGTCTACTGGGAATTGGTCAAACAACCACACAAACAGATCATTAGAATTGGAGGGTCTGATGAAGTTTAACCTGAGACCTGAAGGTGAGGAGCTGGCCACAGCAATAGCTGGGAAAAGAGCACCCGGGAGGGAACAGCATGTGCGAAGACCGTGTGGCAGGCCTTCAAGTGGAGTGTGGCTGCAGCAGAGGCTGGAGAGGGAGGCGGGGCCAAGCCAGCATGGCTCAGAGTCCACAGAGAGAACCCGAGATCTGCTCTGGGAGCCCCAGTGTCATTGGAGGGGATTCAGTGGGGAGTGGCGTAATCCCATTTGTATTATTCTTTTTCCTGATCTAATAAATGCATGTGGTTAAGAAAGATCAAATAATCCTCAACAGCCTTTCCTGGAAAACACACTGTTGATGGGAATGTAAATTCATGTAGCCGCTGTGGAAAGCAGTTTGGAGATTTCTCAGAGATCTTAGAACTCCCATGTGTCCCAGCAATTCCATCACTGGGTATAGGCAGAAAGGAACAGACACACATGCATGTGTGTGTTCATTGTGGCACTGTTTGCAATAACAAAGACGTGGAATCAACCCAAATGCCTATCGACGGTAGACTAAAGAAAATGTGGTATACACACATCATGGAATACTATGCCGCCATAAAAAGAATGAGATCATGTCCTTTGCTGCAACATGGATGCAGCTGGAGGCCATTAGCCTAAGCAAATTAACACGGGAACAGAAAAGTAAATACAGCATGTTCTCACTTATAAGTGGGAGCTAAATGATGAGAACACATGGACCCATAGAGGGGAACAACAGACACTGGGCCTACTCAAGGGTGGAGAGTAGGAGGAGGGTGAGGATGGACACACTGCCTGGCAGGTACTATGCTGATTACCTGGGTGATGGAATAATCGCACACCAGCCCCCTGCGACACGCAATTTACCCACATAACAAACCTGCACACGCACCCTCTGAACCTAAAAGTTGGGAAGAAAATGAAAACACCAGCTTCCTGCTTTACTCCTCCCCGGGCCCAGTGCCACTCTCCAGAGCAACTATTTTGGGTTTTTCTGTTTTTGTCTGTTCGTCCTCAGCTCTGTGTTTTCACTCTCCTCATTATAGTAGAGAACATTCGTCGTCATTAAATGAATGAATGAATGGACTCCCCCCCAAAACCCACCTGGGCAAGCTCAGGAAGAATGTCTGGAGGCTTGGAAGCCTCGGGGCAGCTGGCAGCCTCCCTGCTGAGCGGTTCCAAGCACTGCCCATGGGCTGTGGGAAAGGGCACCTGCTGTATAAGTAGGAGTGCTGCCTCCTCTTGGGGGCTGAATGCCAGAGGGGCAGAGGGAGCTGTGGGTCCCATGGGGGCTGGTGTCTGAAGCCCATGCCCATTCTGGGACAGGTGGGCTGTGCCAGGTGAGGTGGCTCAGGTCCTACCCTCTCTTTGCAGGGCTTGAGTCTGGGGCAGCCTGGCTGCCCAGAGGTGGCAGATGACATGAAGAAATAACCATGTAAGGGCTGGCTGTGTAGGAGGTAAGGGGAGAGGAGATAGGGGTCGGGGAGGACGGGGGCTCAGAGGAGGGAGGGAATGGGAGAGCAAACATCATGGCTTCATCATCCAGAGCAGCATCGGGAAGGATGAACGCCAACTGTGTTCCAGGAACTTCCACCGTTCTCACACACCCAGGTGAGTGGTGTTCAGGTGGGTGGCACCCAGGTGAGTGGCATCCTAGTGAGTGGCACCAGGTGAGTGGCATCCAGGTGAGTGACACCTAGGTGAGTGACATTCAGGTGAGTGGTATCTGTGTGAATGGCATCTGTATGAGTGGCATCATCCAGGTGAGCAGCTTCCGGGTGAGTGGCATTCAGGTGAGTGGCATCATCCAGGTAAGTGGCACCCAGGTGAGTAGCATTCAGGTGAGTGACACCCAGGTGAGTGGCATCCACGTGACTAGCAACGTCCAGGTGCATAACACCTAGGTGAGTGGCACCCAGTTGAGTTGTGCCCAAGTGAGTAACATCCAGGTGAGTGGTGTTCAGGTGAGAGGCATCCAGGTAAGTGGTGTCCAGGTGGTGGCGCCCAGGTGAGTGACAGCCACGTGGATAGTGTCCAGGTGAGTGGTGTCCAGGTGAGTGGTGTTCAGGTGAGTGGTGTTCAGGTGGTGGCACCCAGGTGAGTGGTGTCCAGGTGAGTGGTGTCCAGGTGAGTGGTGTTCAGGTGGTGGCACCCAGGTGAGTGGTGTCCAGGTGAGTGGCATTACCCAGGTGAGAGGTGTCCAGGTGAGTGGCACCCAGTTGAGTGGTGCCCAGGTGAGTAACAGCCAGGCGAATGGTGTCCAGGTGAGTGGTGTCCAGGTGAGCGGTGTCCAGGTGAGTGGTGTCCAGGTGAGAGGTGTCCAGGTGAGTGGTGTCCAGGTGAGAGGTGTCTAGGTGAGTGGTGTCCAGGTGAATGGCATTCAGGTGGGTGGCACCGTCAAGGTGACAATAGCTAACAATTATTGGGCTCACTGTGGACCGGTACTATGCCAAGCTGAACATCACTGAACTCAATTCATCCTCGCCAGGAGCTTATGGGCCGTCCCTAGATCAGAATGCGAGGAGAAGGGACTTCCACACGGCAGCCAGCGAGCTGGAGAGCGGCCTCCTACCACCGCCAGGCTCCCCAGCCCAGTCCTGGATATCTGTGAAAGAATGAGCGGATCCCCACAGCCAGGTGGGTTAGAAGGGAGGGCTATTGTTTCCTGGGACAAATGTGGGGGGGGAGCTGTTTCTCCTTTCTCAGTCCTGACTTCCCACAGCTATCCCCAAACACACTCGTTTACACTGAAGCACCAAGACATCAGAACCTTCTGGAATCTTAATAGGCAAGGAATCCGTGGAGAAGGCGCCGAAGAAGAGAGTCGTCCTTAGGCCAGGCTGGAGGGAAACTCAAGAGGGCGGCCTGGCCCTGGATGGCGGAAGTGGGAGCAGCAGGGGCCCCGGCGCGGAGGCCTGAAGAGCAGAAGCTTCCTCCCTTCTCAGGTGCGGCTCAGCTTCTGCCGGGCAGCGCTGCGCCCCACTCCCCGCCCCTGCACCTCCTGGCTCAGGAAATGAGCCCGCGGGCGTCTCCCCCTGAAGCTCCCAGCCCGGCCTTCAGGCCCGCACAACCTTCAGTGCCTGGGCTCAGCTTGCAGCGGGTCAGGGGCTTGCTTCCTGCAGCCCAGGCTGAACCCCCTCTGCGTGGGGATGAGGAGGCTGAGCCCCCTCTGCGTGGGGATGAGGAGGCTGAGCCCCCTCTGCGTGGGGATGAGGAGGCTGAGCCCCCTCTGCGTGGGGATGAGGCTGACTCCCCTGTTGCTGTTCCCTGTGGCCTGGGGCCCCAGGCTCCCCACCGAAGTTGAGGGCTTCCAGCCCAACAGAACCTGGAATAGGTTCTGCTGTCCCTAAAGGAGGAAGCCGACAGAAGATGAAAAGGGCTGGGAGACAGGCAGGGGGAGGGGAAGGGAGAGGGCAGAGCAGAAGGGGACGGAGAGGGAGGCACCCTGAGCTCAGATCCTACTCAAAGTTTGCAGACAGCTCACTGCCGTCTACCTTCCCTGAAAAGCTTTGCAAAGATGAGGGGGTTGGCTGGTTTCAGAGTAGAGGTTTATGAGGAAAGGGTGATAAAGGCTTTAACAGCCACCAGATCCCGGGGTGTTCGCCCTTCATGAGCCTGTGTGCTGGGAGGGGCAGCGAGTGGACCAGAGGCCCTTTTGTCTCCAGAACACGGGCCCTTGGAAGTCTGGCAGGAAAAGGCACCTCCCAGGAGACCATCTATTCACGTTCATCGGAAATGGCAGCCACTGGCCCAGAGGCTGGGGACGGCGGGTGGAGGGAGCAAGGGGCGGGGCAAGGATGAATCATTCATTCATTCATTCAGGCAGCAAATATTTCTTTAGCAGCTACAGTGCATTCCAGGCCCTGGTCTCTATGCAGGAGAGGCCAGCAAAGACCCCGTCCTCGGGAAGCTTCCATTTCAGTGCGGGAGGACCCACAATCCACGAGGCCATGGGCCTGCAGGCGTCAAGTCCTACGAAGAAAAATAAGGCAGGGAAACAGGCTGGAGACTGCGGGTGCTGCGTGATGCTGTTTATGTACGGCCTGAAGGGAGGGAGGGGTGGCCACCACTGGATCCCCAGATCTCTGCACTCCTGGAGAGACAAGAGCCAGTGCAGAGATGGTGCCCTGGCCAGATGTGCAGGGGGCATCCAGGGGCAGGCAGGAGGCCGGAGTGGAGAGAGCGAGGGGGAGGGGCAGGGGGGGTTGGCTCAGAGAGGCCCCGGGCCCTGTTATGGGCCTCAGATTGCACCTGGCTGAGTTGGAAGCTGTTGGAGGGTTCAGAGGAGGGCTGCGATGGGACCCAACTCAGGTGTTAAAGAATCACATTGGCTGCTGTGTTAGAACTGACCGGTGGTGGGCCAGGTGCCAGCAGGGAGGTACGTTCTGGACTACTGTGATGAGCCAGGTGACAGGGTGGCACCAGGGCCTGGACAGAAAGTAGAGGAGAAGGTGGTAAGAAATAAATATACAAAGTATGCAAATATGTGTGTAGATGTGTGTTACATATTAATTATATATAAAATCGAATATTTGTATGTTAATTATATAAAAAATATATGTAATTTGCAGAGAAACTTATTTTGTATTCCCTCCTAGACAGGGATCCTTGGGGGGTACGGGTTTATCCATCTTGGCTGAGAAAGAACAGCCCCTGACCCACAGCAATCCTCTTTCAGTAACTGTTGAAGAAACAAAAGCCATTTCTTAGCAGGAAGCTAAGACCCCAGAGGCTGAAATTTCACCCAGACCCAGGAAAGCCAGAGTCCGGAGAATCCCCCTGGTCCCTGCCCATCAATCCCAAAGTGAGGGTCTTTCTCAGGGTCCCTGGAAGAGCTGGTGGGAAAGCGGTTTATGAGTTTCTGAGTGCTGTCCCTTGCTCTGGGCAATGTCCTCTGAGATAAGAGACTCTTAAAATGTAAAGGACAAGCCACTCAAGGCTCTCCTCCTGAAGAAATGGGAACTGTCCCTTCCCCATCCCCGTCCTCCCCTCCTCCCGGGCCCCCTCTGCGCCGGTCCCCCACTGTGTGCACCCAGCCTCCTCACAGTGGCCTGCACTGAGCCCCACCCTGGGTTGGGGGCAGCCGGGCCCTGGGAACTCACAGAAGATAAGGCATTCCCTGCCCTGCTCATCCCAGCCCAGGAGTCTGGCAGACCCACCAAGTGAAACCGTTTTCTGTGCCTTCTGCCTCTGCTTTGGGAATTTAATATGCAGCATGATAAAAGTGACTGTGATAGCAAAACACCCTTTAAAACACCCTTTAAAGATTGCATGTTGAAATACAACAAAAATGCAGACAAGTATGCAAATCACAGGCAGGCAGCTTAGTGAATTTCTGTGAAATCATCCCTGCCCTGGAGCCAGCCCCACAGCCCCGAAGCTCCCATGCCCCTCCTGGCTGCCACTCCCGCCTCCTGATAATGCTTATCAGGCCCCAGCCAACCAGGGAGGCAGAACTACTATGCGTGGTGTGGAATAACAGATTTATTACAGGGACTTAGACCCTCCGCAATTGTGGGAGGAACTGGCGGGGGGCGGGGGCAGGGTTCAGAAGCAAGTTCCTCCCCAGGGAGGCTTCCAGAAACATCAGTGAGTGCAGCTTGCAGGGAAATCCAGAAAGCCGTCTGGCACGTGGGGAATGGGGACGGGAGGCAGTGGAGCAGTCTGCGGGGCACAGCTGCTTCTGTGACTGGTGGTCCCAGGGTCACTGGCGGCCAGTGAGGTTTGCATTTGGGAAGGAGACAGGGAGAACAAGAACAAGTTGTCACCAATCAGTACCTCCTTGCCTGTCTCTCCCCAGGACAGTCACAAAGACTTGGGGGTCGTGGCAGCTGCTCCACTTCCAACTTTCAGATCCTGCTCACTTTCCTCTTTCCGCCGTCTCCAACCTGGGACCAAGCAGGAGAAAGCGGCTCCAGCCCAGCTTAAGCCCCCTGCAGATGGAGACCTGTGCACCTGGTTGTGAGCATTTTAAAGCATCACACAGGGCATACCCTTCGGTGCCTGGATTCCTTTGCTAAGTGTTATATTAGGGAGGCGCACCCTTGCTGTTGTGTGCGGCAAGATTTGTGCATTCTCATTTTTCCATAATATTCCTCTGTATACCTATCCCATAATTCATTGATCCATCCCACCGTTGAAAAGCATTTAAGGAGTTTCTGGTCATTGGCTGTTACAAACAGTGCTGCCTGAATGCTCTTGTGATGGTCCTTTCGTGGACGTGTACACATTTTTCTTGCAATTGTGCCTAAAGGTGGAATCTCCAGGTGGGCAGCTGTGCTTGTATTCAGCTTCAGTAGACAGTTCGTGTCCCAAAGGAATTGCACCCCCGATTATGTTTCATGTTGCAAGCCCTTTTTACTCCTAGCCTCGGGTTCAAATGTTGATTCTGTTACTTTCTAGCCATTTGACCTGGAACAATCTAGGTAACCAGGCAGAGCAACAATTTCCTGCTTATCTGTAAAACAGGGATAAGAATAGTACCTCCCACATGAGTCCCTGTAAGGAAATGCAGCAGTCCAGGAAAATTGCTCAGAGGAGTGACTGTCATGTACAAATGCTCAGCATATTAGCTGTTACTACTATTTTTGTTTAAAATAATAATGATGACCTTATCAGATTATGTGGAGGCAATCTGATTTTATCTGTAACTTGCATAGGTAAAAGGCGAAGCCTTGAACCTAAGTCATCTTTGAGTCCTCAGCACTTCACCCAGAGCCTGGCATACAGTAGGAGTGCAGAAAGCTTGTTGTGTGGAATTAAGCGCTCAGGCTGGAGAGTGGACGATCCTTGCTCGGTGCACTCAATCCCTCCAACAGCACAGCACACACCGCAAGGATCGTGACCCGTAGACCCATGGGGAAGACTGGGTGCAGGGTCTTAATCCTGACTCCCGTTTGCTGAGGCTCTCAATGTCTCAGGTCCCCCTTAGATAACCTCATTTAATCCTCACAACAGCCCTGCAAGGTGGGCTATCGACTCCTGGTTGATGGATGACAAAACCCCCCATCCCTATCCCCTGTCCCCTGGGTATACATCCAGCAGGAGTTGGCCCTGAGCTCCGAGTCCAGATCACTGCTCTTGGCTGAAGCAACCTCTCTACTCACAAAGATGAGCATGGTCCCTGCCCCGAGGAAGCTCATGGTCCTGAGGAACGTGGTCCCTGACCCGAGGAAGCTCGTGGTCCTGTGGACGGCAGTGTGGAGGGAAAGCTTCGGATTCCGAGACTGTTAATGCACCGTTACATCCCCACTCACTCAAGCTATGTGAACCCAGCAAGTCACAGGATCACTGGGCGGTGAAAGAAAGAAACACTCACAGAAGCATCTGTGCTTGAAGAACCGTGCAGTCCATCTTTGTGACTGCTGCTCTCATTGCTGTCATGGCTGTCACCATCGCCATCACTCGAGGACTTCTCTCCAGGCCCAGAAGCCAAGCTGGTGCCTGGTTCCTCTGGGTTGGGAGAGGGGCTGGGCATGGACAGGAGGAGGGAGAAGGGACCTGTGCTAGCAGGTGATGCCATCCAAGACATCTGCATCCTAATCCCTGGAACCTGGGATTCCACTAGGTTACACAGCAAAGGGGGATTAAGGTGGCAGGTGGAATGAAGGTTGCTAATCAGCTGACCTTAAAGTAGGGAGATGATCCTGAATGAGACAAAAGAGAGAACCAGCCATGGTGTCATGAGATGGACTTACTGCAACTGCTGGCTTTGAAGATTAAGGGGCTACTAACCATGGAACGTGGTAGTCTCTGGAAAAGACACTGCCTTGGGGCCACCAGAAAGAACCAGCCCTGTCAACACCCTAATTTTAGACCAGTGAGGCCTGTGCCAGACTTCAGACCTCCAGAGCTGTAAACTAATAAATGTATGTTGCTTCTGCCACTAGATTTGTGGGAATTTGTCAGGGCAGCCATAAGAAACTGATACTGTCATATTCCCTGCTGTGTCCCCAGGGCCTGGTGCCTAAAAAAGTATCTATTTAATGGACAAACATCGTGAAGGAAATGCTTTGCTCTGAGCCTACTGTGCGCCACTTTTTTTTGACGCTGTTTGAGTTGTCGGATTCAGCAAATAAAAATACAGAATGCCCAGGTACATTTGAATTTTAGACAAATAACACACCACATTTATAAAAGTATGTTTCATGCTATTGTAAAAAATCATTTATTATTACCTGAAATTCAAATGTACCTGAGTATCCTTATTTTGTCAGGCAGCCCATGCAGTCCCTTCCCAGATAATCCAGCAAGCTCCAATCCGTAGCCAGAAGGAAGTGCCAAAGTTTGACAGCAGACCCCAAGCCCCTGCTTCCGCCCTGACGCCCCCTGCAACTTCCCAGCGTGATGGGTAATGAGTCAAACACCTCATCAAAGGGTCCTCCAAGGGACAGGCAGGATGCACCACCTCCCATCAGGTCCCCACATGCTTGGAGGATGCACATTTGAGGGGCATCTTCCTTGAGCTAAAGCTGAGACCATCAGATCTCTGATGATTCTATGGGGCAAAGCCCTCTCCGCTCCTTCAAGAGGAATGGAAAGGATTTAAGTGGGATCCACGGTCAGATAGCGAGGGCCTGGGGCAGGCCTTGGCCGCGGGTGTCTTCCTGCTGAGTCGGCATTTCCCTGAGCAAGGGTCTGAGGAAACCTGCTAAGGAAGCAAGAGGCCAAGGGAAGTCATTCCTTCAGAGGGTGGGAGCGCTCACAGGAGGAAAACCACCGGCGTGCATCATGAGACAGAATCTTGCCTTCCTATTTCAGGGAAAATGGTACAAAAATAGGGTCCATGTGGAATTCTGTTTCCCCCACTGTGCTCTGCTGGAGGAGGGTCTGGTCAGTTCCTGAGGTTCAGCGACCCCCTGGCTTCGGCGGACTTTCGCAAACACCTCCAGGAAATACCTTATCAAATACGGTCACATACGTGCGCCGGCACACAAAAATAACCTCGGAAAAAAGCACCGAGAATGGGATTGAACTTGCTTTGGCAAAGGTCTTTATGTGTATTGTTATTAGTGAAGTCTCCAAACCACCTGAGATTTTTCCAAGGAAATTAAAATGCAAGAGATCAAGGGATTTGCTCAAGGTCACGGCGCACAATAGACGTTGCCCCAGTCTTCCAGTTTCCAGGCAATTGCTCGCTCTGAGAAGTGGGTTGGCCTCTGCTTCCAAGCTTTATTTTTTTTACTATTTGTATTATTTTTGGGGGAATTATTAATTTTTGAGAATATTATTATATTCTATCACCCAGGCTGGAGTGCAATGGCACCACCTTGGCTTACTGCAACCTCCGCCTCCCAAGTTCAAGCGATTCTCCTCCCTCAGCCTCCCAAGTAGCTGGGATTACGTGCGCCCACCACCATGCCTGGCTAATTTTTGTGTTTTTGGTAGAGACGGGGTTTCACTATGTTGGCCAGGCTTGTCTTGAACTCCTGATCTCAAGTGATCCACCTGCCTCGACCTCCCAAAGTGCTGGGATTATAGACGTGAGCCACCGCGCCCAGCCCCAAACTTTAAATCTAGTAAACACTGGAAGTCGCTCCTCCCAGCCTTCCATTCGGGTCACCTAACCCAGGCACGATGATTCTGACATGATATCAATTTCAAACATATTTTGCATTTTGTGAGCTCTACTGCACATATGATCTTCTTGGGGTTGGACAAGTTAAATTTGAATATTTGCCCAATGAGCAAGGTGAGGGCCAGCAGCAAATTGTCTAGCTTCTGGACAGAAACGGCATGGTGGCCAAGTCCAGTTGAAGAATTTGAAGAGAGTTGGACAAAAGACTATGTACAAAGTTGTGAGTGAGGTATATAAATGGCAGTGACCAGTTCAGCCCCTGGTGGCACATTCTACCACTGGGCATGGAGAAGGGAAGGAAGGAAGGACTGGAGCTTAGCAAGAGGGGCTGCTGAGCCAGAGGTGGGGCACAGACAGGGGGACCCTGCAGGGAGGGAGCTGCAGAAACAGTGCCACAGACAGCTCTGCTCCTGCCTTGACTGATCCCCTAATCACTGCTCTTAAGTTACAGAGCAGGTTGCAAGTGGAGAATACCCATCCCATTGTCTTCCCCAGAAACCATTCTTTGTCTCATTTCTTCAGCAAACATTTCCTGAGCATCTATCTGTAAAGTTCCTGCCAAGATAAAGTTGGAACTTGCATCTAGACCTTCACCTGAAATGATGCTCCAAAAATATAAACCACGGTGATTTTTGTGACATTTTCCCATTATACTGAAATGAGGGAATCATGCTTCTGTGGGGCAATATTTTCTCAAAAGCTAATGAAATTCAAATGCACAAGAAGGGCTCAGGGCAAGAAATCCAGGGCAAGGAGAATGAGAGCCTAAAGAATTTTACAGTCAGAGGGAGACTGAATTTTACCTATTTAATCATGATTATTTTAAGCATCGAAGAGAATTGATCTAGAAGTAAGAAATTTACCTAATGTAGGATCTTGGCTCTTCCATCTGTTAGGCTATTCCAGGATGCCTTTGCTTTGGATGATTTTACTACCCATCTCACAGACATCACTTCCTGAGAATATGTCCTATTTCTATTAGATACTCATCCTCTCGGTTTGCTATGGGTGTACTCATTTCAATAACAAGAACAACAAAGCAAAATGGAACAAATGTCTCTATTCATCAAACTGTCTTTCTTTTTTACTTTCAAAACTACTGAAAATTTATTCTGTATTTTCTGAGTCAAGTTATCCGCATTACATTCATCCTCCTACTTCATGAGGACCCCAGAGTCAGCTTCTGTAGGTACCATGGGGGCAATAATAATTTCTGGATGATGGACACCCATAGATCAAATGCAGTGAGTGATTTTCCATGCTACAAACACCCTAATGGCATAGAATAATATTACAGAGTTCAACTGAGGCAAATGTACTACTGGTTTCCTCAGGACTTCCCTGGATTACGGCTGTGGTCCTGGCACATTTATCACAATGGGCCCTTT